GGCCGGGGGACGCGCCCCACTGCCGCCGACCGCGGAAGTATTGCAGAAGCTCGCCCTTGAACCTAGGCGGGGCGATCCGGCAACGCGGTGTGCGGCTGCACGTGTGTGCGTGCCGCTGATGCGCCGGCGCGAGGGGTGCGCTCGCGGTGTTCGTATGCAGTGGTGAGGCCCGCACCTGCTTGCTTTGGTAGCAGAAAAACGGGAGCGTCAGCTTCGGGTCGCGCCGCGCCGCCATCTCGCCTGCGTGCGCGAACGGGCAGACGCTCCAGTCGTGGCGGTAGCGCTTGCTGCACGGGACGACCTGCGCGGGCCGCAGGTGTGAGGGGAGTGGGCTGGGGTTGTGCCACCCGCGGGTAGGGCTGGCTCACGCCCCCTGCCGGCATGTGCGGGGCTGCAGGGCCACAGCAGCACGCCAGAGGGACTCCTTGTGCCATGCCCCTCCTTTGCCTGCCGAGCTGGCCGGCGCCTAGCACGGCGGGCACGCTTTTCACGGCGCGCACATCGGACCATTGCAGGCGTTCACGGCGCGCAGGGCCAGACGCGGATGTGCCAGGGCCGCAAGGTGCTACGCTACTGAGACGTGATATAGCCGTGTCGAAGGTCTTGTGAGCTTCCACCCCGCGCGTTCGACGCGTTTCATGGTCTGAAACAAGCTCCGCCACCTCCCGTCGCGTCACAATGCGCACTCCAGGGCCCCCTGCTTACCTTGTATGACTGCATTAAAAACGAGCTCGTCTGCTCGTCCGCAGCATCCCGCAAGAGGCCGCCGGTGGCATCCATTTTGATGGCTGTCAGCGGCCAGCTCGGAGGCAGGTCTCGGTTCACAGCTGTGGTCAAGTATTTTTGTTGTGCTGACACTCTATACTCACGGACAGCGGGCCGGCAACGCTGTGATCAGGTCCAGCTAGCTGCAGGTGACCCAGAAAGCAAAGCAAAGGAAATAATGAACGTCCAAGCGTCATCTATAGGCCAATTACAAACAAACCATGCACAGGAGACCACGAGGAAGGACTCTCAGAGAATTTGAGTGATAATGTTTCTTGCCTGTCCCGCGCGATGAAAGCCAGCTCCGAGCTCTCATAAAGTGTTACGGATGATAATAACGACGAAACCGATTTGTGCATGCACGAGCGGCCCTTGCGCCACCGTCCGACACCTGCCCGTCTTGGTCAGCCCCTGCGCGAGAACACCAGCGTCATCGCTTTGGCCAAGGCAGTGAAGCTGTGCAAACGGCTTGCATACGTGCGATGCTGGACACACTATGTGGAGAAATTTCGTGAATGCAAGCTCTTGAGTTTTCAGGTTTGCCCAGTTCGCTGGGCACGAGTCCGCCCAAAACCATTAGTAAAGTGCCAACGAGCCAAGGCCCGGTCCATGAGGGACGTGTTTATGGGCTGCACCGTAGGTCGTGCTGCCCGCGCTGAGCTGCAAGCGGCATGGGTGGCATCATCACAGTTGGTACATTGACGAAACAGCTCCATTACAACCACAACATGTGCATCCGACACCATGCGCATGCCTGAATACCGGTAGCTTGCCAAGTACGCCCAAAGATTCGCTCAAACCGCCAGTTAAACCCATAACCAAAGTCAGGAGAGTGACACACATGTGCAGTTTCTGTGATATTGCAAAGCGCATAGATATCCAAACGGCAGCACAATATCCGCAAGACCCCACCCATGGCACAGCATGCCCAGCATTATGAGAGGATGGGGTGTAGGGGGCATCCCAAGCGTTTAGGTTTTCCTGATGCCTGAACTTGGGGTGTGTGTTCATGTGTTGGAGGCCGGCGCTCTCTGAGGAAATCCAGGGCATTATATAGCCTCGTCAGCAGATGCTATGGCATTTCAAACATTGTGAGGGGTCGTATTTCGACTTGAATTGCCAAGCATAGTAAGCTGCAACCCAGGCGCAAGCTGGTCACCTACCCTTCTTGTCCAGTGATACCCACGCTGGTAAAGGAAACGACGACGGTGGATGCAAAAAAACCAAAGATGCCTTGATTTATGCAAACCAACGACTGATGCCCACAGTAAGTACGCAATATGCACAAATGACATGCGCCAGCTGACGCGGCCAGAGCGACACGCTCCCGGTGCCACTGCTGGCAGCGCAAGAGCGCTCAAAACCTCAACGCAGCATCCCTGCGTGGGTTCTCGCAATCCAAACTCAATTACCATAAGCTACGGCCAAATGTTTCAGACGTGGCCTCGAGCCGCTAGCTTGCGCTTGTCCGACAGACACAAGAGGCCCCACCCACCCCAAATTACTCGTGTTGCGGCGCCCGTGGCGAGCGCAACACCCCACTGTCCCCGTGGGGCGCCCCCGCGCCAGCGGGGCGGCCGCCTTCCGCCTGCTGCTGCCGCGGCCCGCGCCGGCGCGGCCGCGCGCTGGCGCCGTCGGACGACAGCGCAGGGCCAGGGGGGCCCGGCCGCGCGCCGCAGAGGGCGCCGCCCTCCGACTGTTGCTGGCGGTTGCCCAAAGCCACCAGGACAGCTGCTGCGTGCTGCACATGCATGGCTGACGCTGCCGAAGGAGCGCCACCACCGCCGCCGCCGCCACCACCACCACCGCCGCTGCTGCCGCCGATGCCGATCCCGAGCGCCGACGGCGACGGGCCAGACGCCTGATGCGGGTGCCCCTGCCGCGGCAGTTGCGTCATCCGTGCTGCAGGTGGCGATGTGGCAGGGCCGGCTGTGACAAGAGTGGCGAGCGCTTCTCCCCACGCTCTCCCCATGGGTTGGCCGGCACCGCCCACTGAGCCAAGCGGAAACATCTGCGGCGCCATGGCACCGGCTGAGTGTGGCATCACGAGCACGCCGCCAGGCAGCTGCAGCAGGGCGGGCTGCATGGCGCCGCCAGCCGCCTGCATCGGCAGGGGGAACGCTCCCATGGGCATGCCCAGCGGTGCCATGTGCCCCATGTGCCCCGTGGCCATGGGCTCGCCCTGCATGGGGACGCCCATGCTCTGCATTGGGAACCCCATGCTGTGCACGCCTGGCACGCATTGCACGGTAATGCCCACACTCTGCATGGGGATGCCCATGCTTTGGATGGGGAAGCCCACGCTCTGCACGCTTTGCATGCCTTGCATGGGGGCGCCCACGCCTTGCATGCCTTGCATTGGGCTCCAAATCATTCCGACGTGCTGCGCCCTCGCGGCTGACAGCAGCGCGCCCACCGGCTGAAACCAGGCCGCCGGCGGCGCCCCAAGCAGCGCAGCGGCATGCGAGCGCTCCGCGCCGCAGGCGCGCGTCTCGACAGTTACTCGGCCGGCGGCGCAGGCGGACAGCACGTCGGCCGCCTCGAAGGGGCCCTCGATGGCCGGGGGCGCGGCTGCGGCGCCGCCGGCGGCGCCAGCGGGCGCGGGCTCCTGCAGGAACCAGACCGGCGACAGCGGCGGCGCGTGGCCGCCGCCGGTGAATACGGCGGCGGCCAGCTGCAGGAGGAAGGGGTCGCTGGCGATGGGGCCGGCGGGCGGCGGCGGCTGCGGCGGCGGCGAGGGCGTCCGCGTCCCGGCCGCGGGCGGCAGGTCCGCATCATGCGGCTGCAAGAGGGGCGCGGCACAGGGCGGGGCATCCGGCGTGGATGGTTCGCTGCCCAGGCGGTGCCTGCGGTGCTGTGGGTCCTGTTGTTTGTGCGCCTGGTGATACCGCTGCTGCTGCTCCTGCTGCTGCTGCTCCTTCTTCTGCTGCTCCTTCTTCTGCTGCTCCTTCTTCTGCTGCTCCTTCTGCTGCTCCTTCTGCTGCTCCTTCTGCTGCTCTTGGTGCTGCTCCTGCGCCTGCCCCTGTGTGTGCTGGCGCTGCTGTTGGCCCTCTGGTGTAAGTGCTGGCTGCTGCTGCTGCTGCTGCTGCTGCTGCTGCTCCTGCTGCTGCTTGAAAGGCAGGACCAAGCCCCCGCCATTACTGCTCCGCCGAGGCCCCCTACCGCCACTAACCCAGCCTGACCGAGGCGGCAGCTCCGCGGCCCCCCCTGCCGTAGCAAGAGAGGCATTCCTGCCGTCGCTGCCGCTGCTGCTCGAGCGCCGCCCTGCGCGCCGCCGCCGCTGCTGCTGCTGCTGCTGCTGCTGTTGCTGCTGCTGCTGCTGCTGCTGCTGCTGCTGGTTGTGGTGCTGGTGCTCGTGCTGCTGCTCCTGCACCTGCGCTGCCTGCAGACTATCCACATTGCCGGCTGCAGCGGGCCCGCCGCGGGCGGCGCCGCCGCCGTCGCCGGCTTGCGGCACGACGTGCGACAGGGGGGCCACCGCTCCAGTAATCATATGGCGGAGCAGCGGCGCCCCGTGGGGCGGCGCCTCAGCGCCCGCCGGCAGCGGCACATACCCAAACTCAGCGCCGCTCAGAAGCGCGCCTAGCAGCGCAAACGCGGCGCGCCTCGGCGGCTGCGGCGGCTGCTGCGCGGCGCTACCGCAGCACACCAGTGCGGTGTCGAGGAGGGCGCCTGCCATGTAGTGCTGCAGCATCGCACAGCCCGTGTACGGCCCCTGCACTGCGCGTTCGCCGCGAGCCACCCACCACAGCGACTCGCCCCGCGGCTGCCCCGCCGCCGCCGCCGCGCCGAACAGCACCGCCGCGCAGCCGGCGCGCGTGGCGGGCGCCGCGGCAGGCGAAAAGTGCGGCGTGGCGCGGCCAAGGGGTGGGGCGCTGCGAGGGGTGTTGGGGACGCTGCCGCCGCTGCCGCCGCCACCGCCGCCGTTGCTGCTGCCAGAACTGTGTGCGCCTGCATTGGATTCGTTGTACACAAGCTGCTCATCACGTTGCTGCTGCTGCGGCTGCTGCTGCGGCTGCTGCTGCGCATGGTCCTGCTGCTGGCGCTTCAGCGCAGGCAGCTGCGGCACGGCCGCAGCACACGCAGCCAGCAGAGTGTACACAGGCGCAGGCGGGCCCCCCTGCCGC